TATTGTTTTTATTGTTTTTTAAATAAAGTATTTTAATTATAAATCTAATTATAAAAAATACTCAACTCTTCATAACTATAAATAATAATATTTATACTAAAAAATATAATTATAAAATGGTATTGCAAAGATGAAAAGAAAAGAAAAAGAGTGAAAAAAAGGGACGGGACTGAACTAAAATTCAACTAGACCAATAACAAAATGAGTAAAGAAGTAGTTAATCGAGGAGAATCTCAAGCAAATCAATATTTTCCATCATACGGATCTGCTTATAGTTATTATCAACACCAAAATAAAATACTTTTACAAAAACGTGAAGACCTTAAACATGAATTATTAATTACTCAAAAACTCTGGTCTGCTTTTCCAAATGCAGATGAATATATTGCTACAAAACGCCCACTTGAAATTAAAACAGAAACTAAACCATCAACTCAACAAACCTCTATTTCTTCTGTAAATTGTAAACCACCAGAAATTAGATTATCAACTGCTAAAGTCTTTAGATATCGTCCATTTTCATTAATCCTTACAATGAGTTCAACTTGGAGAGAAAATAAAGGATTAACTTATGAACAAGTATTTCAAGCTGTTGCTGCCTTAAAATGTAAAAAAGAAGGAGAAGAAGAAGAATTTGCAACATGTGCTCAATGTAGTGGAAAACAAATAATTGAAATTGGAAGTTCATCAGGAACTTCATACCAACCAACAGTTTCCGATGATAAAACAGAAATGTATATATTTGATCATTGTAAAACAAATTGTTCTTCTTCAAGGGATCATCACAAAAAGAAATTACAAATAGTTATTACATTAGCTGATGAAAAAATTATAACTGTACCATTTAGTATTCAAGCAAGAGAAAAGAAATCAAGTAAAGTTAAATCAAATACTATTCAACCTCATAAAGCTATTTCTTCAAATTCTCCTTTATCAAATTCTATAAACCAATTTAATATTATGGGACAATCAGACTTTCCTAATCAACAATCACAACAAACAACGTTTCAAACTTATCAAGGAACTTTTAATCAAATTTTACCACAAACAAATAATGATTCAACTGAACGAGTAGCATTGTTTGTATTTTCTACTTGTTTACAACCACCTCAAATAATTGAACTAATCAATGACTATAAAAATTATTTGTCTAGAATAGAAGGTTTTGTAAATTTAAGAGTATCATTCTTAGAAGGTCTTTTCTTTGTTTTTGCTTATTTTATGGATGTTGCTCATGCAGAAGAATGTATATCAATAACAAAATTATATTTAAATAATGATATTCGATATCCAAATATTTACAAAAAGAAATTATCAGATGATAACATTGCAATAATTCTCTCTGTTTTTTACAATTGGAGTGAGTCAGGACAATTACCAACATCATTCTTTTCTCAACCATTTTAAATATTGCTTTTTATGTTTCATCATTTTTTAATTTTTATTATTCTTTTTTTTTTGTTTTAAAAGAACGTTCAAAAACAAATAAAAAGAAAAGAAAAATAAGTAAAATATTGAACTTAGAAATAAATCAAATAAGAAGAAACAATGTTACAATGGGTTTTATTTATAAGTATTATAATTGATGTTTTATTGTGTTGGGTATCTTATTTTAAAAAAGTTGATTCATTAAGAGTAATTACTAAACCAACGTTTTGTTTATTATTATTAATATTCGTTATGACATCAATTGATTTAAATACTCATGTGACATTGTTTTGTATAGGTCTTTTCTTCTCATTTTTAGGAGATTTATTATTATTAATGGATGGTCTTCAATGGTTTGCTTGTGGTTTAGTATCATTTTTAATGTGTCATATTTGTAATATTATTTGTTATTCATTAACACTATACCCTGGAATCACTCTCCCTTCTTTCCTTATTTTATTAATTGGTTGTATTTCGTCAATTCCTTTAATGCAAGGTGCAAAATCTAAAACTCAAAAACTATTTACTCTTCCTGTCCATGTTTATTCTTGTGGTTTAACTGGTGGTTCTTTTTGTGCTTTTGCTACTTTAGGTTCAATTACTGGACAAAATTGGAATTTATTATCTGCTTGGATGACTGCAATTGGATATCTCTTTTTTGATATTAGTGATGCATTTTTAGCTTATCACACTTTTGTTCACAAGACTTTATTTAGCACTATGGCAATTATTACTACTTATCACATTGCTCAATTACTTTTAATGGGTGGTTTAGTTTATAATGAACTGGGAAATGATGTTATTTCTTCATTAATTTAAACAATCTTGTTTTATATATCATTTTATTTTTAATTTAACAAAAAAAATGTTATTGAAACTTCTCAAAACATCATTTCATTAAATGACGTTTGAT